GCCCCGCTAGCACCAGGTTGAACAGAAAGGGGCTCAGGACGGAACCTTGTGGAACGCCTGCTGTCACTGGCCGTGGATCGCTGAGCGCGCGTCGTACTCTAACCCGGAGGGTGCGTTTTGCCAGAAAGGCACTGATAAAGGTACGTAGGCAGCTCACGATGCCGAGTGTGTCCAAAGCACTCTCTATCGCTATGTGAGGCAAGCTCTCAAAAGCGCTCTGTACATCCAGCAGGACGAGGAGGGCCACTTCGCCGTTGCGCTTGGCCTCCTCCAAGGTAGAGACGACGTCCGCGATCGAGTCTGCTGTGCATCGGTGGCGTCGGAAGCCCGTCTGCTGTTCTGGTAGGAAATCCTTTGCCCCCGCAATCCAATTTAGGCGTGCCAGTGCTATGGCTTCCATGAGCTTGCAGGCAGCAGAGGTGAGAGAAACGGGTCTGTAGGACGTAATGGCGGCACAAGGGCGGCGAGGTTTCCGGATCGGCACCACAACAGCGGTCAGCCAGGCTTCAGGTAGGTTGCCGCTCTGCCATATTTCATTAAAAGTCCTCAACAGGTGTCGTCGTGAGGCCATATCCAGGTTGCGCAGCATCTGGTATGTGATGCCGTCGGCACCAGGGGAACTGCGGCGCTTGGTTCTGGCTAGAGCAACGTTCAGTTCGTGTTCGAAAATAGGATCCTGACACAGAGATGCGATCTGGCTGGCCGTCCAGGCAGGGTGATGACCTTGCGGTGGCTTGGGAGCAGGCGTGGCGATGAGGGCTGAAGGATTGGCTGGTGGGAGTTCTGTGAAGCGATCGGCCAGTCGCTCTGCCAGTTCTTTTTCACTAATGCCCAAGTAGATGGCCACCGCAATGACGGGTTGCCGCACCATTGGTCCAGTGACGAGGGATCGTAGAAGTCGCCATGCTTTTGCGCCACCTCTTGCCTGACTCAGGGAGAGGCAGATGCCTTGCCAGCTTTGCCGCCTGCGACGGTTGGCATGTCGCCGACATACCGCATCCACACGATTGAAGAGTGTACGTTGAGCTGGGTCATGGGATTTTAGGTACCTTCTCTCAGCCCTACGCCTCGCAGCCCGTAAGTTCAAGTGATGGAGGTCTGGCACAGGATGGTGCTCTGGCACCCTGGTCTGGATAGTTGCCGCCTGCGCTGCCATTGCTACCAGATTCAGGAAATCCTGATCCTCTGGGACGTCTCGAAGCTGCCTTCGAAAAGCCCGCCAATCGATCGTACTACACAGCCTCCTCCTTGGGATCTTTCCGCCCACAGGTGAGATGACGATCGGCAGGTGGTCTGAACCCCAGGAGTCAGGCTCCACTGCCCAATCGTACCGGTCCCCTTCACTGGCCAAGGTGACGTCAATGGCGGAGCATGACGGTCGTGCTGTTCTGCGGACGAAAGTGAAGGATCCGGTGTTCAAAACTTGTAGACCCAGTTGATGGATAACGTCCACCAGATCCCTTCCTCGAGAGGAGCAGGTGCTACTCCCCCACATGGTGTGATGAGCATTCATGTCCCCACATATGAGGTAGTCTCTTCCGAATTTAGCCGTGAGCTGTAACAGCATGGAGGCGTCCCACCGCTGTCCAGGTCGCACATACACAGAGGCCACTGTCGTGTCCACACCGCGAAGCCGCACCGTCACGGCACAACACTCAAGAGCCCCTCCAGTGACATCAGCCACGTTTATGTGCACATGTGGTAGTTCTCGTCGCACGTACACTGCACAACGTGGTCGACCCTGGGGATGTGCACTCGCTATGCACGGCGCGTCCTGGCACGTGTCTAGAGTACACGACGTGATACTTTGGTAACCGATGTATCCGGGAAGTCGCAAGTCGGTCGCTGCTACGTACACTTCCTGCAAAGCAAGCACTTCATACTCGCTCTGCAGGAGATGTGAGGAGAGGTCTGCATGCCGCCGCCGCAACGAGTGAGCGTTTCCATTGAAGCACACACGGGCGGCGGCGGCGGTGGTTCTCTGCAGCATGCGGATGAGTGTCAGCCATGGTGGCTGCTATGAGGGTGCGCGCCACCTGCCTGAAGGCAGATGGAGCGCAGCTGGTTTTCAGGAGGCAGCAGGTCCGCAACTGCTCTTAACAGGAGCCTCAGGTTTGCATTTTCCTGGTCCACACGGGGCTGGGAAGGTACCTTCGCGGGTGGACGAGTCGTGGTAGAGTCTGGGTGCTTGAGACCAGCCGAAGGGCCCCGTTGTTGTACGCCTGTCTGGCCTGGATGGGTCGAGCTGACCGTCATCTTGGATGGTGATCCCACTGCGGCAGCATAGCTCTTGCCCGTGGTCTGCTTCAGCTGAGGACTATCAGTTACACTAGGGCTTGCCCGCAAGACTGCTTGAGCCTCGCGGTGAGGCAGGTAGGTGGGAGCTGATGCCTTGATGGTGGCCAGGCGCCGCTCTCTTTGCCAGAGCTGACAGTCTGCGGAATCAGCTGAATGTGGCCTGCCGCAGTGCAGGCATCTTAATTTGTTGGTGCAGTTGGCGTCTTTCCCATGTCACGCCGACGTTGTGCACGCCAGGCGCCGGTCCTGCCATACACTCGCAGGTGCGCGCCTCGCAGCGTTGCTTTGACGCATGCGCGTTTCAGCGCGTGCGGCGTCCCTCCGTCACGAAAAGAGGGAGACGCAGTGTTGTCTGGGTAACGCATAGGTGCGAAATGGAGCACGTCGCATTTCGCGCCGGTTGCCGTCGGGCTGCGCTGATGGACGCTGGTCGCGCCTGGCGTCAGACTACTCAGTGCTCGCGTTTGGCTATCGTAGCGTCACTGTCCCCAGCGTGCGCGCGTCAACGCTACATTGGAGTATATTGGGCCCTTCATGATGCTCTCGCAGCCGTTTTGCTAGCTCCACATATCGCAAATCTGGTGGTCCGTGATTTCAATGGATGACGAAATATATGACTGGTGCAAACACGATGATCATGACACGTGTGTCATGTAAAAAGATATCTACATTTCTTATTCGTGCTTCGCATATCATCAATTCCCACTGTACGTGGGATCTGCCAATTTTTTCGTTCGCACATTGTAAAACAATGCGATATCTTCAACGCACAATTGATGTAGTTCCCATATGTGTAGTTTTTTCATTGTGCCCATGGACCATTGCAAGTAGCCCACTTGTTTTAGCGCTGTTATTGCACCTGGGTTAGTTTGTGATCTTGTTTTTCACCTATAAACTAGAAAAATGAAGAGGGGAGAGGGCGGCAACAGATATGAAACAACTTCATCGCGGGATGCTTAAGTGCCCCTTTTTGATAATCGTATTATTAGTAATAGGTGTCAGTGTCTGACGTCTGAAAACCACGATATTGTTGTGAGGGACGCCACGGTAGAGCGCTCTGAAAATTTCGACGAGCTGGGTTCTTGAATATGTGCCTAAATTTAGAAACGCAAGCATCTGGCCTTTTCACCACCATTAAAAAGGCGGCTGCCGCATCTGCCAATTGGTCCTGCGAGCCTCGGGTCACCACTCGAGCACTGTAGTCACCCCCTTGGCGGGGAAGTGTTCCTTTTTGAAACATGGCACCCATAGCAATGAGTGCTACTCAAATGAGCTGCAATGACAATGCTTTCGAACCACTCACAGGGTCTGGTTTATTGAGAGAATTCTTCTAATTACTTTTGAATTTATCGATGAACAATGCCAGTTCGCCGATTCTGCCCAGTTCAGCAAGCTTGATAGTGCCTTGGGCACTAATTTCTAAAATAATACAAGGAACGTCGCCTGCAACAGTCACGATTGCTGTGGGAAACTTAAGTGCCCTCATGACACGCGGGCGTAAGTTGATTCTCCAGCTATGCCTCAAATTGAAATGCTCTATGGGATAAAAAGTTGCTTTTTACTTACCATCAGTCGGCAAACATCAAGCGTCAGCAGTGCCACGGTAACCGCACCACACGGTGGAACAGCGTAACAGAAAAAGGCGCGGCGTATACTGAGAGCCTTCTGGAAGTGTCTTTGACGTGTTGTTTTATGGTGCGTAGTAATACGCTAGATTAAAAGAAAGAAAAAACGTGCACGGGGAACACACGGCACAGCACCGATGGTCCAAACAGAAGAGTACTTCTAAGCAGGCGCAGTCAAGGCATCATTGAAAGCATGTTATCATATAATAGTTGATAAAAACGCATATTTGCGAAGCACGTAGCTTTACTGGTGCCTAACCAACACGAGTGAAGATCTTTTTTCTCAATATTGAACAGAATAATTCTGCACGTTCTCTTGCAGTTTTATATCAAGCTTTGATAAACGTCTTTGCAAAGCGCTGTGAATATTGCCTACATATGGCAGCGATAAATGTGACTGTGTGCATACTCCTTCGCACCATCGTCCTACACATGGGACCCACTCAAACGTGCTACGTTTGGAGTAAGTTAAGGTAATCGAAAAAAAGAATTTAGATTACGAGTGTATATCTAGAAGGATTCTATATAAGACAGAACGAGTCCGGCCCTTTGAGCTACACTTCATTCATGTTGTAAACTTCATAAATGTGCTTCTTTTATAAACAGATTACGGGATCACAAGCTCATAGGTGACACTTTTACTGTACAGCGCATGCTCGGAGGCCTTCAATTTACAGGGATTCCTGCCATGGCAAACGTTTCATGTATCTCGCGTGTGCAGGCGTCGGCAGTAGAAAGGTGACTGTGGATTGATCCCAAACATAGTGCAATACCAGGCCAACCACCCGAATTGGTGAAGCACAATTCAGACACTCCGCCCCTAATGATAATGTTTCTGACAATAATACTAATTATAGGAAAACGTTCGAAAGAAAACTATATATTGTTATTAAAATAATAATTATAATTGCTACAACGCACGACAACAAAACATCTATGGCACGTCGAGTATTCCACCTCAGCATGGAATCAGGCAAGCTGAGTTCACTCCTAGTGCGAGCGTCACGAGGCGGCTGAGCCGTGCTCCTTGCGGGCGATAGTGATAGTAGTCTCCGATTCCACAATAATTAGCCCAAATGTCATGTACAAAACAAACTTTATTGAGATTTCAACCATATTGAGCGCGCCCATTCTTGCTATTGCATAGTTCTGGAATGTAAGTCACAGGCAGCTTATTAGCAAGTTAACAAGTGCTACACAACCAGGTCTCTATCAGACAATAGAACAGTTGTAGAAATAGGAACAACACATTTCACTACACAGCTCATTCTGTCGGGGCGTAGTTGCCACTCTGTGTATGGCAAGTAAACATTGCTTGAGCGCTAACATGACTACACACAAAACAAAATAGGTGGAATACATGTTCCCGTCTGTCACGTCGTCTACAAAATGAATGTCAGTGTACACGCTCCTCGCAAAGCCGACCCACTTACAGGATCTTATGAAAAGCATCCGGACTTTAAGCATTACATTTGCCCTGCTGATTCCAATGGCTTTGCGTAGAATAAACTTAGTAGCTGCTTATCAAACGCCTACCGACAGTGCGAAGGCTATCCACTAAAATTTGTTGGTGCCGGCAATACAGGTTCACGTCACCAAGAAGCCGCACCACATTCTGATTTTACGTCCTTATTTTTATGCATTAGGAGGCACGAGATATTTTACCCGGCTCAGAGGCCCATGTACTCAGATTTGGGCGCACGTTAAAGAACCCCAGGTGGTCGAAATTTCCGGAGTCCTCCACTAAGGCGTCTCTCATAATCATATGGCGGTTTTAGGACGTTGAACCGCACATATCAATCAACGAAATATTTTAAACTGCCAGGCACATTTAAGATAAAAGCATCATGTGCTATATTGTGCCCCCCGATGGTTCACTAGCCTATCACATTCACAATCTCAGAAGTTTTAACAATCCATTATTTGTGGCTACGAACATTCGCAGCACCCTGACGAAGCTAGCCAGATTTCAGCCCTATTTCGGTAGAAACTAGGTGCGTCATTGCTGTACCACGTAAATAAAGGCATGTAGCCTAGTATGGCCTTCTGAGCGAAATTCCAGGTGCTCCAAAAGTAAATTCATTCGGCTGTAATGGGCTTGCTTTGTGGGACGGATGATTATTATTTGACAGACATGAGTAAGCATGGACTGACGAGTCTATAAATACACAGACAAAAACAGCTAGATATTGCCGCAAGGCATTATAAAAAGGAGCAGTACTGGTCTTACGTATGTCTTGGGAACATTTTCATTTAGGCAGCAATATGACGTATTACAAGCTAGGCCATATTTAATCGAACTTAGGCATATAAAAGTCAACGAATCAAGTTATATTATTATTTTTTTTGGAGAACTATTCGAATTGGACGAAATTAAGCTTATAGGCGTGTGAACCGTGTAACTTGAGCTAGGATGTCAGTAATGGCTACATTAGTGCCTCCAACGAAGCAAAGATGAGTGGCTTGCTTTTTTATTTATGTTTCTTTGACATGCACACAGTGAGCCTACGTGTGGTGTTCGACAGAATATCAACGTGCGCGTTTTCTATAGTTGCCAGTTAGCAGAGGGTAACACAGTGATGATGACAATTTGCGTCACTGCTAACGAACTCTTGATAACAAATCGCTTGAGCAGAATTATTTGTGCGCACACGGGGAGGGGGGGGGGAGAGGAGGGCACTTCTCCAATCGCCTAATAGGTGGCACAAAATCAGCCCTAGCATTGACGTTATAGGGAGGGTGGGCGCATTGCGACAAATCCTCTTCCCCTTTTACCCCTCCCCATGAAGGGCAACACGCCTATGAGCAGGATGCATTTCACTCACAACCCAGAATAGTCAATCTTGGCAGTACGTGTATATTAGCTTCATCTGCCTACCACGTCATGACGGCTTCGACTATGGCACAGACACAACATGTGGTCTTGTATGTTTAAAACTATGAACAAACTATGACAACAGTAAACAAAGAAGTGTCATCGCTCAGCGAGGTGCACTAAGAAAATAAATATTACCAGGGCGCCCATTATCGATCTGGGATGACGCAAGCTCACCCACTTCTTGCCTTGCACCTTGCCTTTCATAAATTATTTGTATAAAATCTGAAAACTAAGAACAGTACATAACTATTTGCATTTTCACATTCGTTGCCTAACTGTTTTGTCCAGTCATTTCTTAAACAATGTCAGGAAAAATCTTCATGAAAAGCAATAAAGCAAAGCATTCGCAGCTGACTAGCAGTGCTTGCTCAATAAATAATGCCCTCTTTGTTCTAATACAATAAATCAACAATACTATAAGTTCCTCTAAAGCTAGGGATGTGCGAATAGCGAAACTTGAAATAGAATCGAGTGCGAATCGAATAGTTATAATTCTGCACAGAATACAATACCTTAGCGATTCCTAGTCAAATAATTTTCGAATAGTAAGCAAACAATTTTCAAGACCGAATTTTATTTCTACGACTTTCAACGACTTTTTATTTAAAGCAGTTATTTGTAAACTTCACCAAAGTACCATTACCATTACATCTACTAGAGAAAATATACCCCATTTACATAATCTGAAGCAAGGTCGTACAAAGTAGCGACTAGAGCCTCAGAGGTGTTTTCGACTGCTTGGTTAACACAGAAGTTGCTTCAGTAGTCGAAGTGTTAGTTTGTCACCGGCTTTTAGTAACACTCAGATATAGATGGTAAATAATATTTCACGAATTAACGATATGAACCTCATTCTTGCGGTAGTGCGTTGAAGACACGTTCGCTTCTCTATCACTGCAGTGTTAAGCAAAAAAATTTTCATCCGTTGATGAGTCGATATTCTAGTGAAAGCTTGAACTGCATGCAAATTTTATTTCCCTCATCCATGCATGAACACTGATAGTTCTCTATTTCAACGCACTGTGTCTTGCTCAGTTTTTCATCACTGTTGATTATTTGAAAACCATTCGAAAAATATTCTGTATTTCAAATATAAGCTATTGGATTCACGTAGTGAACAACTCAGTTCGATTTGTTATTCAACTTTTTCGAATATTCGCTCACCCCTTAAAAAACACTAAAAAACATACCACAATAGAGGAAAATCTCAAAGCTAAGAATCAACTCTATACTTAGGATGTTGTCACAAAGCGAGTTCTGCTTTTTAAAGCAGAAGAAAGAAGAGCAAGGCACATGAAGGCTGACAAAAACAGGTACATACATCCGTTTTGTAGTGCTAAGGATGAACTCGACATCACACAAGAATTGTCTGTATGTTGGTGTGTATGCCACATAATAACCTTCAGGTGTTCACATCAGGTGGTGTCCAGTTCACAACCCGTATCACTCACAGCCACATGGTAATACGATCACCCAGGATGAGGTCTGAGGCTCGAGAGCCAATGTATTCAAGGCAGTAAACACGTTTGCTCAGAGGTGCACTCAGTCCTTGAGTGTTCTGGGAGTATCCGTGTGTGTGTGCGCAAACGTGGGGATGGGAAAAGGAGTGTCCTCGTCACCGGCACGCGAACGTGTAACATAAGGCACAGATCTGCGCTTCTAGAGAGTAGTGCAACGTGTACCTTACGCCCTTTCGGCCACAATGTGATACCCACTGATATATTCACCAGAAGGTGCACTTTTCTGGCGGATTCATTCGAGATTCAGCGCTGCAGTTGAAGGCTTCCGAAAACTGTGGCATGTTCATCAAGGGCATGTTGCACCTTACACTGAAGTCCGGATAGCGCTCGGTCGCACGGGAATTTGAGCACCACTTGTAGCACAACGCGATGAAAAACAACTGGTCGCTCGTCACTCCAGGCAGTCCCTGCAGCTCCAACGATGCGTCGGGCACCTGCTTCGCCTTGAGGTAGGCGTTGTAGAGTCCGAATATTCCGATGAAGTCTGCCATCATTTCAGAATCGGTAATGTCGTCCGGCGCGCTCAACTCTTCTCCCATCGAGCCTCGAATACATTCGACACGCTTTTCGTACTCCGCTTTAGAGGCCGGGGTCCACCAATCTCTCTCCACGTAGTTGTCATCTCGACGCCGGTTCGAAACGTCGAAAGCGTGCATCATCTCATGTGCGGCTAGATGTCCCGCCGAGGCGTAGTCGACGGCGGGGACCGTACCGAAGAAAGGCGGAAGAAGAAGGCCCATGCCCACAACCATAGTGTTCAAAGGTGGCTTGTATATAGAGTTTACCATGGCCATGTCGTCGTTGACGCTCACCTGGGCTGGATGCTCCGAAAGACGCTCTAACGCTTTTCTACTAGCCGATCGTGAGGCACTGAGCCAGCTGTTCACAAACGAGGGTCCAGTATTATCGAACATCTCGTAGTACTTGTTGAGCGATTCGTCATCTTCCACACCCTCCGGGTAGCCGACCACCTTGTTCATCTTGACGAGTTTTCTTACGGCTATTTCTCTCGTGCCGTCTTCCATCCAGGAGGATTCGGCTATTTCAGTCTTCAATGATTCCGCAATGCTAGACACCATTTCTTGGGCTTTAAAAATAGTGTCTGTATTTATCAACCTGTGATAAAGGGCGGCGTAAGCTGCCTTGTCCATTACCTTAGATGTGTGCTTCAGGCAGCTGCTTTCCCACTGGGAAATGGGGCTGCTCATTGTAAACGAACCGGTTCTACTGACGTGGACCATTTGCCTCAGCTGCCTAGACAGATCGAAGCTTATCCAGATGCGAAGGTCGTTCAAGTTGGGAATCATTCTAAACACCTTTGTCAAAAATAGCACCAAGTATCGCGTCTCGAACGTGACATAATGTTCCCCAGGCAGCAGCCCGTTTGTGATGTTCCCCAAGTAGTGGTTCCAGTTGCCACCTTTTCTGCCGAGGATGGCTTTCTCCATAGTACGCAGCAGTAGAACCGACCTGTTCCTTGCATCTGGCTCTTCGTCCTCGTAGGCGTCGCGGCCCAGCTTCAAAAGATAATCGTCAATTGTTTCTATTGTTGGGGTCAGCTGCCGTATGAGGGCAGCGTCCAGTCCAAGCCACCGCAGGTGCTCCTCAATCGCTTTGTGCGTTGCATGTTGCCCGTCGTATAGTGACCGCCGCATGCTGAGAATAACGTGCAGTCGCTCCGCATTACCCGGGATTGTGTCAACCCTGACATTGAATAATGTTGGAAGGCCGTAGGTAATAGGAAAATCAAGCATCAAGTATGCAGCGTCCACGTCAGACTGAGCTTCAAATGATGATTTGCGTTCACGGAGAAAGTTAAGGATATCCACACTGGGGTTTTGACCTGAAGGGGCATGCTCGTCATCACCGAAAAGATCCACGCAGGACTGAAAGAGTCCGGCCACCTTCTGTATTGCTGTCTGGCCATCCGTGGGAACTGAAGTGTTCCGCAAGGAAGCGATCACCGATCTCGTGATCCATAGCGCCTGTTGACGAAACACACTTGTCAACTTCGAACTCGGGGCCAGCTTCCAACGCGTACAAACGTGCTTGTGGAAGTCATCGCAGGGATCGTGTTTTTCTGACAGCGTCCGGCTGTACAAGGTAGATACGGCCTGGCATTGCTCGGTGTCACAAGGCGGCCCAGGTAATACTGCCGGCCCTGTCGAAGGTTCGGCGTGATGACCACTGGTCGTTGGCACAAGGTCCAGACCAAAGACTGTGCCCAGGACCACTCCAGCGATGACCAAAAACGTTGTGATGATGCCTCCTGCGACCATGGCCTTTTTTCCGCAACACCTCCTCTTCGTGGAATTTCTCCCACACTGCGATTCCTGCAGGAAAATGCGCATGTAAGGACGGCGCAGTGAGCCAGAAAGTAAACATGTTATTCAATGAGCCTTGAATTGGCTACCATAGTTGCGAGCTTTCTCCTGACATCAGTCGCGTGTTGCGAATGAGCTGACGAACACTAGTGCTGCATTCCTTCCCTCTCCCTCACACCCCCACTTTTTCGTCCAAAGCAGCATTGGCTGGCTACAAAAAGAAAAGTCGGTGCGTGCCGTGAAATCTGTGCACACGTTGGGCTGCAATAAAATAAAAACACGTCTGCACTGGCTGTGCCTGGACAACTGTCTCCTAATACGCTTGGATATGCTGGTGAACGTGGCTCAATTTTATTCGTTATCTCAGCAAGACCATCACAATAGCGCTTCTGATAGTAAAATGGATCTATATGTGTTCCCAATTCACCATTACTGAAACCCACTGAAGAGCACTTGTTAACTACTAGGTTTTGTAAATTTCTGTCTTAGTAAAAGAGTATATTTAAGGGGTCATTTTTTGTTAGACACAACAATATTGAGAACTAACAGGCAATGAGGAGGAAGAGTAGGAGGAGGAACGGAAGAAATTAAAATCAAGGAGATCAACCAGACTCATGACTTGTTTGCTACCCTGGCCTCGGGGAAGGGGTGAGGAGAATAAAAAAGAAAAAAATTGAGGAGATGTGAAGAGTGCTGTGTGGGTACATGTGCCTCATTTTATCACCCGCTTATAAGCGGTCACTTAGTCCGGTCGACATTAAAAAACCTAGCAGTGCCCACACTGCTTTGCTGGCCTGCGACGCGTATATCCGTGAATAGACAATTTTTTGCGGAAAAAGGTCTATTGTTTAGTATGATTAAAGTTTCCTGTAAGACGTTGCGTTCGCCCACAATACAGTGACATGAACACGGTAGAGTTTCTATTGTGTCGTGATTATCGTACGACTCACATGTGGAGCTATCTGGCGTTCCTGTGCGAAAACAGTTAACCTTCCTGAAAGCCACTGCTAACCACAGCCGGCAGAGTAAAGGTTCATCGCGATAAGAGAGGTCCGATGAAACTTAGAGCTTTCTCGACGAGGCCAATCTATGTAGGTGACAGTTCCCGACACTGCGGTCACTCAGCCAAATTTCAGACATTATGTTATCGAACGAGCAAAGGCCCAATGCAGCGTCAATTCTCAACAAGACTGTTGAAGTTGTCTCATGGGTAGATCAGGCGGCATCATCAGCAAGGTCGTTACCGACGCGGATTGTTAGAGAGCACTAGAATCATCGTGCGCACTAAGGTGTGAGCAGGTTTGTCACGTGGTATTTTTTGTATTTCGCGGGCATTTGTCATAACAAAAAAAACACTAATTCATAGCGAGGGTCTCGTTCTGTCAGACCTTATGCCTTGAGGTGGCATGCGAGGGATTATTGGTCAGGCGCCATCTCGTAATGGGATCACGTACTACGTCACACCTAACAGGCAAGAAGAGTGTTCCACACTTGCCGCCATGGCAACAGGTGGCACTGACTGACGCTCCCACGTTTACAATGCACATATATATACCCTGTAAAGTGGATTCAGAATAACCGCCACCGTAGCTCAATGATAGAGCATCGAACGCGTTATTCGAAGTCACAGGTTCACATCTTGCCGGTGGCAAGTTATCTATTCATCTACTTTTCTTCTTCGGATTTACGTTACAATTACTTATAACAACATCCCCTCTACTTCTCTTGTAATATTTTCTGATAGTTTTAATCAGTGTTGAGTCTTAGTAAAATTAGTTCTACGCTTATCTTCTTCACATCATGTAAAAAAATTATGCACTTTCTAGCCCTAGCAATACGCACTTAAATTACAATGCGATACAATTATAAATAGTAAGGCTCTAATTGACAAACATAGTTCTCCCTCTTTTTATTACTTGACGATTCGAAAGATTACACGTCATCGCAACGAGGCATGCTTCATTTTATTATTATGCTACTTTTTGATGACGTAATCCTCCAAGGTAATTCTAGAAAACGAATTATGCTTTCACATGATTAAAATACAATCCACTTTGCGAAAATGAGGACCTATGAAGCTCATGGGTGGGTTCGAGAATATATACAATCTCTGTACTTCTCTATCCCGATTCCCCAGCGTAGGTTAGCCAACCGGGCACGTGCCTGGTTAACCTCAATACTTTGTCTCTTATTGGTCTTCCTCGTCCTCTTATACAATGCATAAAATATTTGTAAGGCTAAGTTCACAAGAACTTCCGCTTTTCATTACAAACTCACCGTGTCAAGTTGACCACTAACAGTGAATACGCCTTGAGTGCCGTTGGTCACGTGAGCTCCAGGCTGCAGCAGAAGAAGATGAATTCACAACAACCTCAACTGTGTTATCAAGATTAACTGCGCATCAGTCGTAATAATCGAGATTTGTGTCGACCAAAATCGGCCCCCAGTTTCCCAAGTAAAGCTGCGCCACGCTACTGGTGTCGAAAGTTAACACGGCTCATGTGTCTTAGTAAAGACGACGTAGCTAAGAGGTGCTTTTAAATTCACAGTTTTACAGAAACATTGCTGCACTGTAGTTGCGGCGCTAGGTGTCTGGACATTGGAAGTTCCCACTAGTTTTACGCAAAACTCATGCTCTGTGTTTTCATAGTGAGAGTAGCTGAAAACAAACACACACACAGACTCTTTTGTCAGCGAAACAAGGTTTCACGTTTTATTCGTTGTCATTGACAGTAAGCCCCCATTTAACACATTTGATTCAATCGAGAATTCGATGCCATTGAGGATCTGCGTTTTAACAATTTCAAGCTACCCAGTGGGGTGCGTGTCTCGAAAAAGCAAAAATATTAATGGTTGGTGGCAGCATTCAGGAGCTATGTGAACTTTTCACACCCTTTCGCACATTCGAGTCTGTGAAGCTTTTGCTCTCAGATAAGCTGCATCGTGTTTGTGATAGAAAGGCCAGCGATTTCATGCACGGCCTCCTAATCTCTCCTGTTGGCGGTCGCTTACTTCTGGGACTCCATTTCTCTCTGTCTAGTTCGTCTTTACTATTTGCTTCCGGTGGCCACGTCATCAACGAGACGCACATTCCTGGAGCCACTTGCGACACTCCGCAGCTGCGTGCAAACGCCAGCACAAAATAACGTGCGGTTATCAACGTACAGGGGTTCTACGCTGACTTGCATGGTTTACTTACGTTATTTGGAAACCGTGTGAAAGACGGGCTAAATGAAGGAATGATCGTCAGTGCTGTCCTATTTTTTTTTTCTATCACCTGTCCTGTCATTCGGGCTGTTTTTCTATCACGTGAAAATAATTGCTCACGTCATAAAACAACAATACGATTATGAGGGACGTCATTGTTGAGGTTTCCGTAAACTTCGACCACCTGGGGGTTCTAACGCACACCTCAATGTAAATACAAGGACCTCAAGTGCTCTCGCCTCCATGGAAAATGCAGCCTCTGTGGCCAGAATTGAATCACACTGTATACCTTTCGGTCAGCAGTCGAACATCATAGCCACTATAAACCTGCGTGGCAGACTTTCGCCTCAGGCCAACAATTTTACTCGACATCAGATGTCTCACCTCGTACGCTCCAGAACTGTAGACACTGGCTGCCCCGTTGGTAACGCGGACTCCCCGCTGTTGCTGCGCCTGCAAGAAAAAAGAATTTGACTAAGATAAAGCACAGCAGTACAAACAGCGAAGACGACCATGCAAAATGTGCGCGCACATAGCTATACATTACTCTATGTACAGGTCGAACATCGCACGTAACACGAAAAATGAAAAAGACTTTGCTGACCGCTTATGGTCTAGTCCGAGCGGCATCTTCTGTACATCGCACAGCAGAAGTAAAATGAGAATTATACAAGCAAGTAGCGTAGGTCACTTTCCAAGAATGGGATACGGCGTTGCAGTACCAACACCGAAAGTAACAAGACATTTTTATAGAAAAGCCACACTTTATTAGCTCTCTCTAATGTATTTCGCCTTCTTTGCTTCTAACCTGTATTTCGTCAATATTTCCATCTCTCTATGCGTCTTTTTGTGCGCATGGATAACCATATATTTCTTCATATCACCAGCCCTTCCACGACATAAAATTAAGTTTATTTGTCTTCGAATAATTTATATCTGTTCTCTTCTGTTGCCGCAAGCAACCATTAAGAGAGTGAAATAGTAACGCTTTATCTCGTATACTGTGAAAACTTCAGGAGCACGCACTCCAGAGTGTCGCTACTCTAATTCCTCAGCCGCGCGCTTATGAAGTCCACCCGAGACTGCATTCTTAGAAATTATGGAGCCGGAGGAACAAGACATAGGAAAGAGGGAAGTGACACCTATTGTCAAGGGAAGCCGGCTAAAACGAACTTGCGATGAATCGGTGTCCCCCGTAGAAGGCACAATTTGTACCTTATCTTTTTCGGCAAACGCAGAGAGAATGTCATGTTGTTTAAGGGAGAAGTAACATTTGCTTTTTGATCCACTGAAAAGGGTTGCCCAATATGGCGAGGTAGGTAGGAGTCACTGGAGACAGGAAAATACCCGAATGACAAGAAGTTCCACTGGCTTTGCAGCGAGGCATCAGGGGCTCGCGCGGTTTCCACGACAGTGAGGAGGTAGTGAGTCGTTTTTTTTTGTTATCTGGTGTTTTACGTGTCAAAATCACGATATGATTACGAGGCACGTCGTAGTGAAAGGCTTCAAAAATTATGACCACCGGGCATTTTTCGACGTGCCTTGGCATAACGATCCCGACGTGGAAGTCGTCCGCTGTGGGCTAACACACCCCTTGCAGGACCGCGATAGAGTTTCGCAACCAACCAACCAACTGGCATCGCAAAGTACACAAGCCGTCAGGGTGCACAAGTACATTACGCTAGTAAAGGATTAGCAATCTCATGCGATAGGAAGGATCATTTGCAGGCACCATAAGACGAGGAAGCATAGTAATAGTGATAACCGCGAAACACAGTATCTTTTGATGTCAATATACTAGCCCTACCGACCCCCACGTGATGATCAACTTTTATATCATACTTTTATGCACTTTGTAGTCACAGGTTCATAAAAGCCTACTTCTTTCACTCTTTCACTCAGTAATTCAGCAGGAAGTATACTGCAGCACACGTTTATGTGTTCTAATATTGGTGACATCACGTATTCCTTGAGCGTGTCTCGTAAGTGGCAAGAGCGCTCGGAAAATATACGCACGCCCTCCTCTCTGACACCGCGCTAGTGCCCAAACAATCAACTGCGCTGATTAGCCGACTACGCCACTCCAGAACTCCCGGGAAGATGGACGCCAAAAAGCGGTATCGTAAGGTGGAGAGGCTTGCTTCAGAGATATACTGGCGGAACAAGATTAGAGGAGCTCGAATGACACAAATACCGGCTTTGCTCTTGAGGAACTGCGCGAGGCCGCACTTCGAAAATCCAAATGCATGTTTCGAAAATTGTTTGCATGTGTATGTAGACATAAGCGTACTCACGGAGAGAGACTAAAGGGGTGCCGCCCCCGCCCCCCTCCTATTAGTACGTTATCTTTGCATAGCGTACAGATCGTAAGAGCTTCAGTGGGATCGAATTGGCTAGAAGTGTTGAAAGGGAGCTCCGCGGTGGAACTTCAATAATTTATGTCCACCTAATCCTGAATCCCTACGCGTGCCTGGGCATGAATATGTGCAGTTTAGTCTGTACTATGTGATTTTTTAGTGTTAATCTCACAAAGGCTGCTTCCGGTTCTCCTACGTCGCTGGTAACCAAGTCCGAGTTTACAAAAAGGAGCTTCCCCGCCGAGTTCCCAACGTGTTCGAAAACACCGCCTGCAATACCGATGCTCCATTCAAAAAGACGAGCATGTTCGGATTGAGAGCAGGGCTTCTCGAAAGAGAAATAACAGAGCGCTGTCTTTTGCAACTTTTGTGGTGATTCAAGCCTCAGCGTCCTCGGGGATGGACAGGTCATCACGACATATGCGGAACAAAAGCACGTGCAGAATAAGGACTCAAAGTGGCTGGATTTGGCGCTGAGCTGTGCTCCCGCAAGAATCCTTAAAGATAGTTCTACCTTCCTCGCTGAAGAACCACTTCAAATGGCCTAGGAAGCGGGAACAGTCGGTGACGGTTGGAAGGCTGTCCTCGATGGACAGTCCTGTTCATGCTAAGGGACTTCAGTGTAGCAGCTCAGGTGGAGAGGCGGCTTCAAATTTGGCCACAGGACGGTAGATATCGAGGCCCTGTTTAAACGTCCGGGTGTCAAATATTTTGTCCTCTACCGCATACCATAGTAGCGACAAACAGTACATGTTGCGGTTAGGTTGCACCAGGAAATGTTAACTAACTTGCCTTTTTATAAAACCAACGATGTCAGATCTGACCTTCTCTTTAGCTCCTGCAACCACTTGGGGGATTTTCAAAGGAAGGTGGTGGTGATGTCTTCTGCCACCCTTTTGGGAGCATAGCTCGCCTTAGGCGTTAGTGTAATCGTGGCATTGAAACGCCATTGTTTCGTGAGTACTGTGAAGCAGTGCGCATGCGTCCACGCTATTTTAGACGAGCTTTCATGCTACTTATTATATTTTCTGCTCATTCGTTTGAGGCTCTCTTGCGGATTACAGCTCAAATATTAACGTTAACGTTCACACGATCATGAGTATGCAAGAGGACTACTAATTTTCTCACAGCTCCTTTTCCACCACTTATGACGGTGCCAAAAATTGTAATAAAAAAGCGGGGCATCTAGGAGGTAATAAAGTAATAAAAATGGAGATGCTTATCAGCCACATATGTACACCATTCAGTTAACATGGCTGCGATGTAGCTCTCAAATTTCCGCCACATATGTCGTAGATGGCGGACCAAGAATAGCGCCGCCTGGTTATGATGGCTAAATTAAAACGGCTGATGTAATAACATGCAGCACTAGGGTGTTGACAGCTATCAATGAGTAACAGCGGAACAAAGTAAATGACATTAGCTCACTCACCATTCAATTGCACAAAATGTTGGGGCCCATGACCAGAAGATTTGCGGAAAGGCGCTTTAAAAGCACTCAAAGTATTTCGTGTAGGTAGTGGCATTTTGGTTTTCAAAACAAGTTTACTTTTGTTTTGTTTAAACGAAATCGTGCATAGTTATGGAACAGTTGACTACTTTTGCTTCGAAGGTTACCTTATGCATGACACGTTTTATTTCAACACTACCGTCTATATACATATTCGTGATTCTTGACCATGTAGCTTTGACTGCTATGTTATGTCTTTACGTGACAATTCATTTGCGTGATATGTGACTTCCAACCTTCATATAAGGGGACATTATTCGTTGTATTAGCTGAGGCTTGAGTGTCATGGTGCTTTTAAGTTTCCATATTGCATGTCCCGTTGATCTTTTATGCTCGGAAAGTTTAGACCCTGCATGATTTATGTTCAAGTCCTCTAAAAACAAAGGGTCAGCCATCACCTTATTTGTGCGCCGACGGGTCCTTACAACAATGCCATTAAAACTAACAGACAATACAGGCAAGCGTATTCAATACGAAGTTTTTTATGCTGCTCGATAGGCGACGAAAGCTCGTTATGCTAGGCAAAAGAATCTCCTTTGTAAGTGAACCAACTTCATGAGCCATGTTACGGCTTCTGTACAAGATGCACCTGAAGCTTGACTCTTCAAACACAATTCAGTTTCAGGCTGGTATGCTTGTGCAGTGGAACGAGCAATGTCGCTATTTTATTCGTAGAGTTTATTGGAATATAGAACGACTTGTCGCAAGATGCATCTGCCCCATCAGTTCGTCGGGACGTGAACCATTGCCCTGTAAATGACTAGCAGTAAACTTGGTACTAAGCGCACATAATGTTTCATCGATATTTATCATATTGTCATAGCTCCGCCTAGACGACCATCGCCTCGCGATAGCCGAGCAGTATAGTTTATAGTTCGTTGTGTGTCTTTTAAGGTGGCAAATTTCAATCGATGTGACTGGTTTTACTGCTGTCACTCAGGCACTTTCTTCCGTGGCCAATATTTTTATGACAAACAAAACTTGTCTCAAGCGAAAATGCTAGCTTAGAAAATACCACATTTGTATGAGTGGCCGAGGATTATAGGATTCGTATGGTGAAAAACAACCTTTGTACCCTTCCTACTAGAAAACAGCAGCTGCAACATGCAGATTCTATGTCGTATTACCATATGGAAACATGTAAACAGCTGATAACCGCAGCTGTCTGGCACAAGGGTAAAGGAATGCTTCTCAAACACAACGTAAACGCCGCATGCCTTGTGTTTGTGCACGTTTCCATGTGTGTGTTCGCATGCAAAAGAGCTTTTAGACATCTATCTGTGCGAGTACTTTTTACACTATCAATACTGTCCTGTTCTAAACGGAGCCAATTAGGCATTAGATTATTCACACTTGACACATGCATGTATTATCTGACACTGCTTTGCAGGAATTGAACAATGCAAAAATAAAATAAATGAAGAAAAGGAAAGCCACGTGAGCTCTGTGCCAAATTTATATAGGTGCTGTACACGCGAATATTGCTCCTAGTAGCTTCAGATAAAACTTTTGCTTAATGTAATAGCTGTTTGTGGCAGTCGCGTGTAACTTATAGTGTGACAGAGTGAGTGTAACTGGCACAGCGT